TTTACCATGCAGATTGACGTTCATATTAGCAGTGATGGGTATTATTTTCATTTTTTTTTTTAAGAAATACCTCCTCTTTTCCTCTTTATATTTTCTTTCCCTTCTTTTTCAAGAATATTAGTTTATTTAAAAGTATAATTGCTTTTCAAATAATTTTTCTTACTAAAATATATTGTTAATGATTTTTTTTATTTTTTTAAAATTATTTATATTTTTGATATTAATATATTAAAATAATTAAAAATATAAAAATTTAATTTAATATTTTTTTAGTTAAAAATATCTAAAAATAGCAACTAACACATTACCATAAAATACCTTCAGATTAGCAGTGATGGATATTATTTCAAACAACTGCCGCCCTCTCTCCCTGGCCTCTCTCTCTCTCAGGAATTGCAAAGAAAATTAAGTTCCGGTAAAAGTTCACATACCAATCACTGCAAGATGGTTTCTTTCTCTCATCTGGTGGATCTTCCAGGAGAAAGCAATGCCTTGATGCCAGCTGCATGCCAGGAGAATTGCTAGACAAGGATTTCAAAGCACTGCAGGCTGAAGCAGTAGCAACATCAGGTCCCACCAATCTTGCCAGAAACAAAGCCTATAGAAGAAAGGAACCCATCAGTTGAATGATATTAGCTGCATTTTTTAACATGCTAACGCATACAATGCCATGAGCCTCAAGGTTAATCCTTTTTATACTTTTATCTGCAAATAAAAACTATTTAAGTAAATGACAAAGTTTTCTGCATGCTAACATTCAACTTACCAAAGCCATGACAGGATTTCCAACTTCAGAAAATGAAAGTCGGTTTTCAGGAGTTGGGGAATAGCCAACAGCTTCAAATGCTTCTGTAAGAGCCTTGAGTGCAACATTTTCACCCATTTCCTCACCAGCTTTCACTCCACTGACATATTCAGATTTTGAAGTTTCCTGACCATTAATCACATCACCTCCCTGAGAAACTTTTACTCCAGTCGTATCTTCTGGTTTTGAACCTTCCATTGGCACAGTCAAGTGTTGATCCTCATCAGCACCTGTTTTGCTCTCACTTGTATCATGGACATCTTTAGGGGCAGATGTATCATCATTTGTTGCATCAGCATCTGCTGTTTCTTTAGAAGTACCATCCATATCAATGGCGCAGTCAAAAAAGGCATCCTCAATTGGCATTTGAACAAAGTGCAATATACACTGAGCCTTCGTTTTTGTGGCAACATGTTCTGCAATCTCATTCCAGTTTTCTTTATAGAGTTCCAATGCTTCAAGAAGAAGTAGAGTCTCTTGATCTGTCCACTTTCCACCACTTACACCAGCAGCCTCAGCAGGCTCCATGAGAATAAAATCTGATGAGGACATGTTTGAGCCAAACTTTCTATTATTAAAGCAATCGGCACATAAATCATAATCTGCCTGTCCAATAGGAATAAAATTAGAAAGAATGCAATATATAAAAGAGTAAAAAATGGGAGAAACTAAAATTTGGCAAAGCATTTGCAACCCCATTTCATGTATCATATCACTGTTGTATATTCTGTAAAAAACTAACATTTGGAATGTGCTTCTATCATCTTTGGCATGTGCTTCTATCCTCTTTTAGATCCAAGCTACTTACTAAACGAGATTTTGTACTTCACAAACAATTGAATTCGAATGGTGCAGGATTAAGGGAGTGTTTAGGACAATGGTAGAGATTCAAAGTGTTTTTCGCTTTGGAAATGCATTAAAATAATATTGTTTTCTTTTTTATAAAAAATATTTTTGACATTAGCAAATTAAAACAATTTAAAAAATGAGCACAAAAGAAATAATTTAAGCAAAAAAACGTTTTAAAAAATTTGCAAAACTGCAGTGCCAAACACCCTCTAAAACCAACAAATTCTAGGGAAGAACCAACCTTCTTCTGGCAATGATAGCGTTTGCGCGAGCAATCAGCTGAACAAGAATTGCAGTGGTACTCAACAGATGGCCCCTCAAGCTTAGCCAACTCTTCAGCAATTGCCGACTCAGGAAACAATCTAGATGGTGTAGTTGGAGCTGTGAAGTTAGGTTTAGTAACAACAGGTGGACATGTTTGAATGGCTTCAAAGCGAAACAACTTTTCAAGTGACAAATCTTTCTTTGCTGCTCCATCACCATCAGCGTTTGTAACAGAATCTAATTGTAATGGATGAAAGTTAATTAATCCCCAATAGTCCAAGAACTCTAACACCTCTTGCCTCGCTTCCGAGTCTGAAACTTCAAGTTCTGATAAATCTTTCACTTCAATAAGAGTGTTTGGATTTGCATGAAACTTCTTCATAATCCAATTACGTATATCTAAATAGGTGTCAGGTGACCGGCTTTGGGACTTTCCATTAAAGAATGAAGGCAGCAAACGCTCCTCAAGCGAGTGAATTTGTGTCCATGAAAACCAACCTGTAATCCAAAAGGGACGAAACCAAAAACTCATTTTCTGTCTCGACTAAACAATTCGCTCACTTAATTTTCACAAGAATTTTAATATTTCCACATAAACAAAACACAGAATTTCTCACATTCTCGATTCATTAACAACAGTACAAAAGGCACAAAACTTGACCTAAAAAAACCCTGAAATTAAAAAATTCTCATAACTGCAGCTAATACATACACCAAAACCTCAAAATTTTCACATTTTCTCAGAAACCAGACTCAAATTAACAAAACTTTTCGCAGAAAACACACAGGAATTTAAACTTCCACCACTTACCACAATGACTAGGCACAACATGAGCATTAGAATCACGAGATCTAATAACCTCAAACTCTGCTTCAATTTCTGCTTGCAATTCCTCCACCCTACTCCTCCTCTCCTCCTCCACCACCGCAGCGGCATCCGGCACCGCCGCAACTACCTTCTGTTCGATCTTCACGCCTGCTGAAGGCGCCGAAGAAGCCAAGATGTTAGGGATTTGTCTCGCTCTAGTCAACGGACCGTTATGGATCGAGAGATTAGAAAATCCAGCTTTCTCGCGAGTGAGCCGTTTCGATGGTAGAGGTGAAGAGAGAGAGTTTGAATGTGAATTTGCTTTCCTTTTGTGCCCTCCAGCCCGGCGCCTTGAAGTTGTCGGTTCAAATGACGCCGGCGAGTCGGCAAAGCTCCCCGCCGGTTTCTCCTCCATTCGTGACTGATTTTGAGGGTTTTTTGTTTTTTTTTTGAGCTAGTGAGTGAGGGAGATGTGCTCCATTTCTGTGGATTATTATTGGCAGAGAGGAATTTTTACTTCCAGATAGTGAAGCGTTTTTAATATTTTGAATTAAAAAACATGTTGACTACTGTAGTTTTGGTTTTTAGTCGATTCAGTCCTTTTTCTTCTTTTTTAGTTAATCTGGGACACTTTTTTCCTTTTTCCCGATTTGTGATGGATCAAGCCCCTTTATCCAGCTCCTTCCTTCACTTTTAAGCTTCCATATTTATAAATATAAGTGAATGGAAGGAATTCGTCATTATTAAGTAATTAATTTAAATGAATAGGGTTTGATTTTATAAAAAATAACTTAGGGGGGCTGATCATATGAATATCAATACTTAAAGGATCATGCAAGTATTTTTGAGATTATACTATAAAGTGTTTTTTAAAATTTTTATACTTTTGATATTAATATATTAAAATAATTAAAAAATATACAACTAACACATTACCATGCAGATTGACGTTCATATTAGCAGTGATGGGTATTATTTTCATTTTTTTTAAAGAAATACCCTCCTCTTTTCCTCTTTATCTTTTCTTTCCTTTCTTTTTCAAGAATATTAATTTATTTAAAAGTATAATGGCTTTTCAAATAATTTTTCTTGCTAAAATATATGGTTAATGATTGTTTTTATTTTTTTAAAATTATTTATATTAATATATTAAAATAATTAAAAGATATAAAAAGTTAATTTAATATTTTTTTAGTTAAAAATATCTAAAAATAGCAACTAACACATTACCATAAAATACCTTCAGATTAGCAGTGATGGATATTATTTCAAACAACTGCCGCCCTCTCTCCCTGTCCTCTCTCTCTCTCTCTAGAATACCCGGGAAATGAAATCCTTTATTGCATGTGCATCCTTTTTACCCGCGTGAAAAATTCACGGTCAATCGCTAGTCAAATTTGTATATTAATTAAAAGTAAATCTTATTTATAAATAATGGTAGAGACATACCTTTTATACAAGCATTATGTATTCAAAAAATAAATTAACTAAAAGAAGTTGAGAAAGGAAGCTCCTCGATCATTAAAATTCATTTCCCCCGTTTATATTATCTTTATTTTTAAAATAGAAAAAAAAACTATCTTCAAAAAAATAATTGATTAAGTAGATAAGAAAATAAAACTTATTTGTATAATTCATCGGCTCCTCATGATAACGACTATAATTATCAGTTTGAATTTTAACTCTTTGAAGTTCTATATTTACACGATAATTGTATGGTTCGCATTTTGCTAATGAAAATGGAGTTATATATGATGACATTAACAAGTACATGATGTTGCTTTTCATCCATATAGGTTTTTTTTTTTAATACGGAGCTTATATCCCTAAATTAAATTAACCATGTAAAAACAAAATCAATTATGTCATAACACAATAACAAATAAAAAAACTTAAGAAATAATTTAATTTTGTTATTTGATAGTCACCGGTTTAAGTTTTTTTAGAATTATTAAAGATTTATATAATTATTAATTTTAGAGTCTATAAAATTAATTAAGATATAATTTTAAAAATCCATGTTAATAAAAAAAATCCTAATGGTGGGTTGTTAATAATCCAATTCTTTCTAAAACAGCAGTTTTCTCCCTACATTTAGTTTCACTCAATCTTCCAAAGGATACTTCCAACCTATCAGCTCTGTTTGTTTCATTATATTGTGAGCATCTCCATCCCTAGCATCTATGATTTCCTTGACCAACCTCTAACATCTCTTATCAAATTCCTTCGTCGCGTTGCTGCCTTCTAAAAAATGCATTTCTTTGTTTTCATAGCAGTCATATGAACATCTAAAAAACTATAGCCCACTGCCACCCTTCCCTCGCAACTTTTTTTCTCGATAGATTACTAAGAGGCCAATTGATAATGCGGCTGGGCCTGAGGTGCAAACTGCAATTAAAATCTGTTTGGTTATGTTTAAACATGGGTTGAAATTGGTGGGACCTATCACCACTAGTGGATGAACCTGTGGTTACAAAAGAGATGGATGCAGCTACTGCTAACCAGCAGCAACCTCAACTGTCATCCACCGACACTCTCCACAAAAAAAGCTGTTGGATAATTACTCGCTCTCCCAGTAAATCAATTCAAATGTTCGCTCATCCATTGTCAAAAAATTCAATTCAAATCCTCGTCTACATAAAGATGGAAACTACAATCTCGTGTTGTTCACCATTTTCATAAAATTCCCGAAGCACTCGTTTCTTCCCGCCACAGATCCCTTCTCCCTCTCAGAAGTTTTTCCCTTCTGTTTTTCTACCCGAGACACCTTACCAAGCTCCTGATCTTGTGAGGTTGCTGCAAAATTGTAGTCGTTTCTTCTCATTGTGTTTATCCCTCCTCCCTCTCATACAAAACAAAAAATAAAATTGAGCTTACACAAAACACACTCATTGCAAAAAAATTCTCTCTTTTATTGTCAAAAATAATTTCCTCTTTTATTTTTCTACTTGAAACGCCTTGCGAAGCGCCTGATGTTGTAGGTCCGCTTAATATAAATGTATATTGCCATTTGTATCATTTTTTAGTTATATGCATCAGCTTAAAATAAGTTCCCCTTTTGTATTTCTTCTCACAATTTTTTCATGATTTTTGATGTTATGCCTACAGAGCCGAGTTCGTGTGAGAGGCAACAGAACAAGGGGATACTAAGAAATCATTTGGACAAAAAAGGAGACGGTGCCGCAGTAGAGAGTATGTGTTTCTGTTAACCAATTACGCCTCCCTGGAGATAATTATACAGATGTATATATGTTTAGGTGTTGTGTATTGTTCTAGGTTACAATATTATAAATATATTGTGCTGTGAGGATTATGAATTAAGCACAACAATTTTCTTGCATAGATGCTGATACGGAACAAAAATTGGGTGTTGTGATAATAGGTTAATTAACCATCTGTTTGTTTTAAAAACTTTTACATTGTTGTGTAGACCATACTGCTTTGCAGAATTTGATGTTAGTGTTCATTCGGATACTGCTGTTGCCATTTGAGTCCAAATTTGTGCTGCTTCACATGATATTGTTTTTATGACTTGATCCTACATAATGCCTGCTTATATTGATTTCTTTTAGGATTTGATAACTGGGAGGCGATGATTTATGAGAAGGAATCCTCAATTTCACTGTCTAACAAAAAAAAATGTTTAGAATCTGTTTGATATGTTTAGGATTTCGGATGATGAAAAAAACTGAGCTGACTGCTAATTTTTTTGAATTACCTTGATGAAGCACCACTGCAATTACGTCATGTATTATATGACAATAATATAAGCCAACTGCCTGTTTCATCAATTACTATACACATAATAGAGTATACTATAAGATAGCTATGTTTCATGAAGATGTGCAGTATTGATGTGTGCTGTTTGTAGGACACATGCATGTTGTATGGAAGGGCTAGAATTGTTATAGAATGGTAATCACTTGTAGGACACAGTATAAGTTCAAAACTTGCTACAGACAAGCAGCTTTGAATTTAATTGTTCTTTACGCTACTGGTTGTAGTACATCATTGCATGTCATCTACACTTCCATCCAATATTATGTAAATTAGTAGCATGTTATAATTAATTCATAATGCTTGCTTGCAAATATAATATGTTATCCAAATAGGAATGGATTATCTTGAAACTATTGATAAAGCTGCTTGGAATAAAGAAATGTCATGTCTTTTGTGACCTTTGCATCAAGGCCATCAATATGGGAATGAGACCAAATAATCAAGGCTGGTTGGAAATATTTGCTGATATCTTTCAAAGAACAAACTAGTCATGCATTCACCAAGAAACAATTTAAGAACAAATGGGATGGCTGCAAAAAGGATTGGAGGATATGAACAAAGCTCATTTCAAAAATTGGTGTGGGTTGGAGTAATGAATTAGGAACAATTTCTGCAAATGATGAGTGGTGGAAAGCAAAAATTCAGGTTCTTTGTCTGTATCCTTCAATTTTAATTTGGTTAAATCTCAGTTTAGTAATTATCAAAATATTTAGGCAAGCTGCATAAAATAATTCTATTTGTTTCGTGTAGGAAATTAAAGGAGCAAAAAAATTTAGGTACGCTAGTATCGAACCATCTTTATGTTTGAAGTTCGACAGAATGTTCTCCAACATTGTCGTTACTGGAGAGTATACATGGGTACCATGGGCTGGAGTCCTCTGTGATGATAATGTTGGTGTTGCTGAGGATCCAAATGCCAATGATGAACAACCTGATTTGGAAGAAGGAAACGATGATTCAGAAAAGGATGGAATTCCTAATTTCATCGATGATGTGTGCAACATAGTTGGATGAGTTAATATGTCAAGTAGTAGCAACACACACAACAGTGTAAAGAGAAAAGAAAGAGAACGTCTTGATGTTCAAATAGGAAAAAAAAAAATTCTAGAATTAGGATGCAACTACTGTTACGGTTTAATCAAATGGTTGATAGCATGTCAAACAATAATGATTTCACATCTATATATAGAGATAAGAAAGGGTGTAGTATTCATGAGGTTATGACCGAGCTGCACTCAATAGGAGTTCATATTAGTGATGATTTTCATGCGTATGCTACTGAATTCTTATGTATGAGAAGGAATAAAGAAATGTGGTCAACTATTGGTAGTCTTGAAAACAAGATGCAATGGTTGCAAATAATGTTAACATGGCGTAAAGCACCTTAGACAGAGAGGTATACATTGATCTCGAATGTATGCTTTTATTTATTTGTTGCTAATATTATTATCTAAATTATTATGTAACATGTTTTAAAATGTCTTGTCAATTATTTATATTTGTAGAGATCTGAAGATGATAATCAGCTAGAATTGTTAAGGATCCTAGTTGTAATTTTAGCAATTCTCAAGGGATCCTAGTTGTAATTTTAGCAATTCTCATCTGACATAGAGAGACTGTCTGCAAGTTCTGTTTTTCAATTATAGAGCATTAATATTTGTTATTTTCATGCTAAGGATTGTATATTAAAGTATCAAATGGTTGTTGTGTTATTCAATACTTGCTAAGTATTATGAATTGCAATCTGAAATTTTTTTATGTATTTGTAATGCAATATGATATGAACAATGCTTTTAGATTTTACAAAATATCATTGCTTGACTGTTACCGGTAGAAAATGCAAACAAATGATTGTTAAATAATTGATATTATATAATTTGAAATAATAAAGTATACTGTTCAAAAAATCCAATTATAAATCCATTCTTAAAGAAAAATCAACCTTTTCATGGTTTTAGTTTGGATTGATATAAATTGTAGTCTAAAAGCTATTTAAACAATGAAAATCCATGGTCAAGACTTTAGTCGTTGGAGCTAGTCAATTGGTGACAACTTGTTAAGTGTACTATCATACAATGTAAGGAACTTGTGATAAAAACTTGATGTTATAAATAAAAGGTTGTTAACTTATTAGTTTTTATTTCCAATTACAAATGTGATGTGGATTCACGGGAAGGAAAAAAACAATATACAAAATGTGAAATATATTAAAAAAGTAAAAAGAAATAAATGCAAGGATTTGAAATATAATTTATATGCAAAAACTAGTTAACTGATATACTGCGATAGAACTGCTCCTGACTTTGCACTTTGGTTATAGAAGATAAAAAATAAAAAATAAAAATAAAAAATAAAAAATGCAAGGATTCAGAATACAAGTCACATGCAAAAACTAGCTACTGATACACTGCAATAGAATTGCTTCTGACCTTGCATTTTGGTTACATGATATAAAAAGTAATAAACACAGGTTGTTAGATACCACTTGTGTGAGAAGGGACGAAACAAAACAAAAGGGAAAATAAAAAGCAACCTCACTTTTACACAGAGCACTGTTATCTGTAATGCTTTAAAAAGAGAGAACAATGCAACAGAGATAAAAAGGCAGGGGAACAAAATCATAGGATAGCAGAGGCAACCACGGGATAAACAGAGGGCCACCACCAACAACCTTCCATGTCACCACCACAGCAATCGTCTGCCCTCATCGATGTCAATAACAACACCACCAACAATAGGGATATAAGCAACCGCAGAAGGGAAAAAACGCAGCAGAGGCAGTGAAAAGGAAGCAGAGCAGCATCAGATGAAAAAACAAGGCCACCACCACCAAACTTCCTTGTCGCCACCATGGAAACTGTTTAACCTCATCGTCGTCAACAACAGCACCACCAACAACGAGGATAGAAGTGACCGCAATAGGGAAAAAATGTAGCAGAGACAGTGAAAAGGAAGCAGAGTTGCTTCAGACAAAAAAAGGGTCACCGTGGGATAAAACCAGGCCGCCACCACCAACCTTCCTGGTCTCCACCATAGCAACCTTCTAGCATCATAGACGTCAACTGTAGCAGCACCATCACCGAGGAGAGAAACAAGCAAAATATATTAGAGAGTGAGAAGAACAGGAACAGAGGAGCACCATCACTAAAGTTCACCATCGTTCCTCATCATTCCCACCATCAACCATACTTCACCGCCGCCAAGGGTAGCCTCCTCTACCCTTCTCCTTCATTTCTCTGCTGATCACCATTGTCGGGCTCCACTGTTCACTTTGCATATGAACAGTAGAGAGTGTGTCCATTGTTCCTGGCTTGAGGAAAATTTTTATTCGGGTCTGACCCAGTAAAAAAAAGATAAAAATTACATAACAAATACTTTTAAGAAAAATTTGTGTCAATATTTTTGTTAGTGTGAAGAGTAGACTTCAATAATTGTGTAATGTAAAATTAAACGATAAAGTATTACATTAGATATTGTTTTTCATTTGGAAAAAAAATTATTTAATATGATTTAATTGTGTATTTATCTAGAACTATACATATGGAAGTAGCACGTTTAAATGCAATACTCAATGAAGCTCTTAATGATGACTATGATAACATAATGGATCGTGTTGTTAATCACATTAATTATCATAGTGATGATGACAACGGTGGCTCGGGAGGGGATGGTGATGATGGCGTAAATGATGATGACAACAATGATGATGATAGTGATAATAATGAAGAATCGTTTTAGAAGCGAGAATTTGATATGAAAAGGTTAGCCGTGTGCACAGCTGGGGCAATAAACATGTATTATGTTAATTATATGCATAAAGAATCATGCATGATTTCATACAATACAGGCATCCGTTAGTTAATTGAAGTTTTACGAAGATATTGGCAACAATGTGTCAACATGTTTATAATTGACACATCAACCTTGTTAAGCCCGTATAGTGATTTAGAAACAACATATATGTTAAAGCCTTCGAGAATGATGAGTGTGATTGAAAAAGTTTTTATATTTCTATATACAATAAAACTAGTAGCATTGAATAGGGAGGTTCAAGAACAATTTCAATATTAAGAGGAAACTATGAATAGATGCATTAAAGAAGTCCTCACGGCCATATATTTGTTTGTAGTAGATGTTATAAAACCAGATGACCTGAGTTTTACAAATACTTCATGAGAAATTGCAATGAATCCAAGATATATGCCTCATTTCAAGGTAAGAAAAATATTTGTTTTATTATTGTCAGTATTTAATGCAAAAGTTGTTTTATGCATGTTAGTAAATAACGCCATCATATTATCAATGGTTTTTTTGTTTGTTAGAATTGTATTGGTATAATTGATGGAACACATGTGCAGGTTTGCATATCAACCAAAAATCAAATTCCATTTATAGAAAGAAAAGGTGTACCGACTCAAAACATAATGGTTGCTTGTAGTTTTGACATGCAATTCACATTTGTGTGGATAGGATAGGAAGGCAATGCCCACGATATATTTATTTTTCATGAGGTTATTGAGAATATAACTATAAAATTCCCTAAACCACCAGAAGTTAGTTATATAACATAACTTGTTAAGTACTTATACATATAAAATTTATTTTTTATTTACTAATTACATGATGAATTTTGATGTTGTTTCTAATTACAGGTAAATACTATTTGGTTAATGTTGGATATCTAAATAAGTATAGTTATTTAGATCCATATAAAGGTGAAAGATATCACTTATAGGATTTTAGATGTCGTGGGCAACCTAGAAATCGACAAGAAGTTTTTAATTGTGTATATTCATCATTATGTAATGTCATAAAACGATCTTTTGGAGTATGGAAATAAAGGTGGAGGATTTTACAAAACATGTCTACTTATTGATACAAAATGCAAGTTGAATTTGTAATGACATTAATGGCACTATATAATTACATTAAATGAAGATTGTACGATGATGTTGCATTTGCAGAATTTGATCGCAATCCCAGTTATGTGCTTGACGAAAGTTTACCAGATGTTGTGGCACGCTCTGAAATCAATGGAAACAGTAGTCAAAACAGGATGAATTTTATACATGATGAGATTGCAGATAGTTTAATAGAATAATAAAACATAATTTATATAAAGTATTGTTTGTTTAATGATGTAGTAACAATAGTTAACTCTACAATATTTTAACTACAAAACAATAATATTAATATATGTCTTTTATAGTTATTTTATTACCTTAATTTGAAAAGCTTGATTGTTTGGGATTATAGTAGCATTGGCGATTCATATTATTTTTCATTAACGAAGCATCAATATAATATATGATTTGCATGTTGTAAAAAATTATTTTTGAGACAAGCACATGAAATAATCTGAAAATATAAAAAAATCATATTATAAAATTTTATTTTGAAAAACAATTCAATATTTTTTTGGTAACGTGGGTTGCAACGCATAATCAGTTACCAAACACATTAAACTGCTTTTTATTCAACCACAATTTTAACCAAATACATATTTTTCCAAACCAACTTTAATTAAAAATATTTTTTATAAAATAATTTTTTTAAAAACCATAACTACAATAACAATCTCAATACCAAACACACAAACATCCATGGCTATATGTCCAAAGAGAAAAAATCACGTTTCATGGCGTCGAAGTGTCTCACTGCTATAATTTTACTTGATTTGTTTCTTGGTTTATAAATGAATAATATTAATGTATCTCAGATCAAAATTTTAATTAATTAATTTTTTAATTTGAAAACTAGTAACATCAATAAATCTAGCAATGAAGAATATGATAAAGTAGTGACCCTTTAGAGACTACTAATATCAGTTGTTTGATAACTAGAAATTAATTAAATTATGGCTCGTAGTAATAATAATTTAAATTATAATTAATAAGTAATGAAATTGCATATATGAATGTCAATGTGATGATTCATTAAATAAGTTGTTTATATTTTTTTTTATCATAAATGTATAACACTCATTTTTATGAAGTTTTCAATATAACATGTGTATATCAGGATTTTTATATAATATTTAAAAAATCATTTTTTATTAAGTAATTATATGTTATTGCACCAATTTAAAAGTTTTTCTAGACTATTAAAATTTTATCCTTTAATTTTTTTTTTCAATTTTAAACTAGATATTTGGAAAAAATTTATGGCGCATCTTTATAAAATTTAATCATATCAATTTTTTTTTAATTTTTTATTATGGATGTTTAACAGTTGATGAAAGTTAATGAGATCTAAGATAATAGAATAATACTTGATATTATTTTATTAACGGAGAGCTTACATTTTAACAGAAAAAAAAATCACGTAAAGTTTTTAGTATATATATATATATATGAAATCAGGGTTGTTATAATAAATGCGTATTTGACTGATGGGTTTGTATTCATTTTAATATTACTTTTAGTTTTGGATCGTTAATTACTTTTATTGGTTTAAAGGCCCTATTTATGCTTGCCTCTACTAGGCTTCGGTTAATAAACCTGATTTGTTTTTTATATATATATATATAAAAAAAAAACAAAAGAAAATGGTGCAGTCATGATTTAAACTCACGATGCTATAAAAGGAAAAACAGTTTTACAAGGTTGTCAATTAATTCTATTATTGTATTTTTTTCGTTGAAATAATAAATTTTAAGTTTTGAACTTTTTTGAAATTATATACTATATATAACTCAAAATATTAATTCAATATATATAATTTTAATTTTAATATAAATATAAATTAACTTTGAATCATGGAATGCAAACATCAAGTATTTAAATATAATTTTAAAATTTTAAATATTTCAAAATAGTTAAAACTCAACAACAAAAAAAACTAACTTAAAATATTCAATACAAAAAAAATCAGAATATTAAAAAATTAAAAAGTTTTAATGAGAAAACTATAAATTAACATCAATGCTGATATTACTGCTTTTAATGACATGTGATAATTACTATTTTCTTTATTATTTTTATTTGTTTTTATATTTTTATTTTTAAATTTATTTGGAAATATAGTTGTGGTTGTTTTTTAAATATCTTTTCATGTTAAAATATATGTTAATGATTTTTTTTATTTTTTAAAAATTATTTTTAATATCAGTATATTAAAATGATTTGAAAACATTAAAAATATATTAATTTAAAATAAATAAATAAAAATTAATTTTTTTAAAAAATATTTTTAAAATAAAAAAATAAACATGCCTTTAATTCACGATAAGAAGCTGAAAGCAGATAATATTGCTGCCGCTGATGATGATGGTACCAGATTGCTCGAATGATGATAGTCACGCTGAGGATTCTGATACGGTGGTTAGGCAAAATCCAATCCAGTACAATTATATAGATATTTACATCACTTTTAATGTATTTATAGCTTAATATTTACATCATTTTTAATGTATTTATAGCTTAATCCTGCTAGCTACCACTGGTTAAATGTTAAATCCCTTACATATGTATAGCTTAATAATTTGATATATTTTGAAACGGATTTATTATTTCCTTGAATTTTAGTTATTAGCTTTTTTTACCTGTTTTTAGTGTTTTTAAAGTTTTGATGGGCAAATAAAATATCAATAAGGTATCATATTGGTTATGGATGTTTTTAAAAATTTATTTTGTATTATTTAAGATTATTTTAAATATATAAATAAACCTACAATGAAAAACATGATTAATTAATATGGTTTTTAGAAATTGTATCTTTAGTTTTTTTTGTTCATATCCTTGTACGTTTATGTGATTTGTTTATGTAATTGCAGCTACATTTTAATTAAATTATAGGTTGAAGTTCTTTGATAAAGATAAAAATAAGATTTATTGTTCATTGATTTCACATTATTTTTGTGTTTGCGATACAAAGAAAGAAAAGCAGGTAATTCTTTCCTTTTGCATACTGTTCAAAAGTAAGTAATTTTTTTTTTTTGCATACTTTTATTCTAATTGCATTGTTTAGTAAACAATGCAATTAGCATAAATAGTATAGCTATACTGTTCCGGTCAGATCAGATTTGGTCCAAAACTCAATATGCAATGAACCTGGTTCAACCTAGTAAAATAAAAATTATTTTTTATTTTTTAATTATATTTTATTTTAAAAAATAGTGTTTAACATTATTTAATGACATTACATAAATTAAACAGAGATCGTTTGATGATATAACATTTGCAGAATTTGATCGTTATTTCAATTTTATTTCTAATTATGTTTTACCTGATATTGTTGCATGTTTAAAAAAAAAAACAGTAGTCTTTATTGGATATATTTCATACGTGATGAAATTGTAGATAGTTTAATAGAAAAATAAAAAAATATTTTATATAAAGTGTTATTTATTTCATGATATAATTATAGTAGTTAAATCTACAATATTTAAATTAAAAACCATCAATATTAATATTTATTTTTTTAAATTGTTTTATAACCTCAATTTCAAAAGCAATATTAACCAAATACATTAAACTACTTTTTATTTATTTTAATTTTAACTATAGTTTTAACCAAGCATACATATACCAAATTAACTAAAAACACTTTTTTATAAAATAATTTTTTTTCAAATTACGACATCAAACTACTTTTTATTTATTTCAATTTTAACTATAGTTTTAACGAAGTATACATATACCAAATTAACTAAAAACACTTAAGAAAGAAAAGCAGGTAATTCTTTCCTTTTGCATACTGTTCAAAAGTAAGTAATTTTTTTTTTTTGCATACTTTTATTCTAATTGCATTGTTTAGTAAACAATGCAATTAGCATAAATAGTATAGCTATACTGTTCTGGTCAGATCAGGTTTGGTCCAAAACTCAATATGCAATGAACCTGGTTTAACCCAGTAAAATAAAAATTATTTTTTATTTTTTAATTATATTTTATTTTAAAAAATAGTGTTTAACATTATTTAATGACATTACATAAATTAAACAGAGATCGTTTGATGATATAACATTTGCAGAATTTGATCGTTATTTCAATTTTATTTCTAATTATGTTTTACCTGATATTGTTGCATGTTTAAAAAAAAAAACAGTAGTCTTTATTGGATATATTTCATACGTGATGAAATTGTAGATAGTTTAATAGAAAAATAAAAAAATATTTTATATAAAGTGTTATTTATTTCATGATATAATTATAGTAGTTAAATCTACAATATTTAAATTAAAAACCATCAATATTAATATTTATTTTTTTAAATTGTTTTATAACCTCAATTTCAAAAGCAATATTAACCAAATACATTAAACTACTTTTTATTTATTTTAATTTTAACTATAGTTTTAACCAAGCATACATATACCAAATTAACTAAAAACACTTTTTTATAAAATAATTTTTTTTCAAATTACAACCACAACAACTATCACAATACCAAACAATGAGTTAAAGTAGGTATTAACCTATGATTTGCTGTTGCTCGGATAATTTTTATGATAAAAAAAAATATACATGCTTTTTAAATGTATTTTTTATAACAAAAAATCATAATTAAAAATTAAAAATCTCATGCATGTATTTAATTAAATAAATTGAGAATCATTTGTGACAATAAACACTAAAAAAGTGTTTACGTCTATTTAACTCGCCTAGCTACAGGTTAAATAACTTTTTTTCTAACGCAATTACATTAATGTGTAGATGTTATTAATATATTTTTGGATAACAAGTAAAAAAAATAACCATGAATCAAAAAATCAATACTTATATATAATAAAATATAATAAAAAAAATATGTTTTAATAAAAATAAGTAAAATTTCAATTTTATTTTTAACATAGTAGAAATATATGACAGTGTTGTAATTGCTATATTGAAATATCATTTTTTTAGGTTATATATTATTATTACATGTATTTTTTTTATTTTTACTTAAAAAATATTTTTCTTATTTGGCATGTTGAATTAAATATTTTAAGACAATATATTTAATATATATATATATATATATATATTAAAAAAGAGTCTATTCATTACATATTATGGTTTTCGAAATACAATGTATTTTTATGGAATCAAATATTAGCTTGTGCTTTTGTGAATATTTGTGGATTGTTTTCAAATCATAGTGGAAGTAATAATATTTAATCAAGTTCAGCCTTGCTTACAAAACAAAATCTTCCTAGTTTTTTTTTTAAATAATAAAATCATGATACTTTCTATTATTTAATAAAAACACGAATCTCCACCTCATACCTTTAAGGCTGAATCTAAAACCTTTTAAGAGAAATTCCTGATCCCAAGCCGATATACTAAAACTTCCTTTAGATTGCTATTACTTTTATTCTCTAAACCCAGGACACCTTTTAGGATACTCGAAAAGGCCCTAAAATTTTGGTGACAGCACATGACCACAACGATATCTTATGACTTATTTGTTTATATAAAAATTATTTTTTTAGATTTTTCTATATTTATTTGTTTTTAGAAAAAATTAATTAATAAAAAATATTTTTTATTAAAAATTTTTTTAGTTTGATTTCTAAAAAAATATTTTTTTATTTTAAGTGAAAAATACTTTTTAAAAATTATAAAAAATTTAAAAATATCATATTATTTACTGATTATATCAAATTTGATCTCAAACTTTTAATTGTTATATGTTTTATTTTAAATCTTTTTTCTTTAATTTTATCCTTTAAAATTTGATTTTCATATCAACTTTAGTTTTTAATTTTATGATTATTATTTGCTTTTTTCTTGTTATTTTTTAATTGAAATTATTTATTTATTAGATTTCATCTTTATTCTTTTGAATGTTATTTTATTTGAAATAATTTATAAAATTATAATTTTTTTATTTTTTTATCTATTAGATTTGATCTCTATTATTTTGATTGCTATAAATTTTATTTAAGATAATTTATGAAATTAAGTTATTTTTTTAATTTTATTCTCATTTAATTTTTTAATATGTAAGAGCTGTTCTTTATTATTTTAATAATTTTTAAATAAAATATTAATAAATTATTTTTCAATTTGTTTTTAATAACATAATTAAATTTATTTTTAATAATATAACCAAATAGTAGGAAGTATTTTTCAATTTTTTTAATACTATCAAATATAGAAAATAAATTATTTTTCATAAATCTTTTTTTTAATCACTTTCTAACAAAACTTACTTTCCAATAATCAAACGGAATTAATTTCTGAACCCAGATCATATATATTCTTATTATGGGAATCAACATGAAGCGCGAAAGCTTTGGTGACCGTGCATGGCGAGGGACCTGAAGCTTGTAGCTAGCATCATTATCTTGCAAGCCGATGTTTCTGGTGCTATTTTCTGCAGAAGCTAGGATTTGCTGCTTCTTTATCCACTGTAAGAGAAAAAATCAACCACTCACATGGCTAAAGATTTTTAGATCCGAGCAATCAAGAACATAGCTTTTAACTTTTAGTGATTGACCTGAGAATATTATTGACAAAAATGTATTTAATTGATCATTTCTTAAGAGATATGATTCTCTTTTTATTGAAGTTAAGGTTTCTGAACCCCCTTCATACAGCTACCGACTTGTGCCTAACTTTATGAGCACGTCTTTAATATTTTAATAACATAGCCACACTTGTACATACTAATTAACCAGTTAAAAGCACAGCACTCCTTGATGCTCTACAAACACAAGTGATAAGTCTTGATCACAAGTTTTCTCTCCTCATGGCGCATATGCCTTGTCTTCCTCGTGATCCCGAGCATTCGTAGGATTCGTTTCTTTCAGCTCGTCCTTCTCGTCATGACTGTGATATATGATGGCGCTGTGCCTCGTATCGAAATCCTTGACAAAATGGCCCAGTTTGCCAGCACCGGCAGGATCTTGAACGAAAAGGTCCTTGATTGCTTCCGGCATAGGCTGATCCTTCATCATGCTCTTCCAGTAATATTCCCTCGGCTCCTTTCTTGCATCCCTGAGCTCAACAAACTAAAGTCCAAACAGGTGAAGAGCATGTTAGCTAGGGCGTAAACTAGATGGAAAACAAAACAAGCAACAACAACCCAGTCAACAACTTTAGATCTTCTAGTTAATTCATGAATCCAAGAGGGCAAAAAAAAGACTTAGAAGGATCTTTTGTAAAAATCAAATCGAGGGTATCAGAAAGAAAGAAGAAATAGCATGACTTGTCTGGAATCTGAGGGTTTCACATGGTTATGAAATGCTTACCGAGAGAAAAGAGACGAGAACAAGAACAGCCAAGAAAGACTTCATGTCTGGTATTCGACACCTTGATCTTGATACTCGTACTTTGTATGGTAGCTAGGCTTCTCCGTCCCTGGCTGATCTCTGCCATTTATAACAAAATGTAAGGGTAGGAAAGTGATTATCAAATTTCTTTTGCCCTATTATTGAAAAAAATAAAAATATTTGCGTAATAAAATACAAATGAGGGGGTGATTTCATGGTCAGTGGGGTGGCAAAACCGAAAAAAGCACACTAGAAGCTTGGAACAGAAAGGAATCCAATATGGATGGTGATGTAATCTTTAATTATTTCAAGAGTTACTGTTCATCAGGCTCGACAGTGCCTCTGTGTTGAAAATGTGAAACACGACTGACCTTATCAAACGAAAATACCTAAAAAATATTTTAAATTTCCACTCTTCTTTTGGTGACAGGCGACAACCAGAGGTTTTGCTTACCTCCATTGAAATAATGAGTGCTTTTATAATGGAGATAATGACAATAATGCTCACTAATTACAAGGGTAGGTTAATATATTACCGTAACAATATCAACATTTAACACTTATTAAATACAAGAATAAAATCCACCGCAAATCTAAATAATATTAAAGATCTACTACACTAAAGGCAATGTCTGTCCAAGTTAAAGGTATAGTTTGGAATTTCATTCCTAATAGTATTTTTTTAATAATTTTTTATTAAAAATTAATTTTTAAATTTTTTTGAATTGTTTTAATACATTAATGTAAAAAATAATTTTTTTAAAATAAAAATATTATTTTAATATATTTTTGAATAAAAAATATTTTGAAGAATAATCATTATTATATTTCTAAATATTTTCTAAACCAAATAACTAAACTGAAATTGAATATTTCAGTTTGGTATTTTTTCCCCTAACTTGTCTTTTGAAAAATGAGTTGGATTTAATTTAATTTTTAATTTTTGAACTAGTTTTAAAATCTTTTACTCATTTTTAATTAAAAACCACATAGCATATATATAATTGACTAAAAAAATTATATAAAACACATTTTTTAACCTACCAGTGATATACAAGATCTAAGTTTCGACAAAAATGGTGTTCAAATAATAAATCTTTTTTTTTTATAAAAAATCTCTATATAAAAAACAAATTGATTTATAGTAAATATAATGATAGGAAAACCGAATCACACTATGGTCCAGGTTCACGAGTATATTAAATATAAAGTAAGTGAAGAGTCATTATTTTTTTACCCGATTTATTTAGCAATAAACTCAAAATGGATTGAACCATTATGGTAGAAACAAGATCTAAACATCTAGCTCACACGATATAACACATAAATATGAATAAGTAATTTATTTAGCAATCAACTCAAAAAGGATTGAACCATTATGGTAGAAGTTTTATGGTTTCTTAATGTTATGTTCTGTATACAAGTTGTTGAAAAAAATATATAAATACATTTTTTAATCTATTAAGGAATACAAAAGATCTAAGTTGAGACATAAATGGTGTTCCAAGAATAAATTCTTTTATTAAAAAATATTTATATTAAAAAAAGAAGTATGATATTTAGTAAAAGTTCAAATTCTAGTATACAAAAGAAAAACAAAATCACATTTTAATCTGGGTTCAAGAGTATATTAAATATAATGTAAGTGAAATCTTAATATTTTTTTTACTCAATATTCATGTGTTTTAAAAGAGTCCAAATCCATAGATAAAGTGTTAGCCCAATCGAACATGGATATGATAGGATACCAAACCTAACATATTTGGATTCATTCATAAATTAAGTGCAAGTTACTGTGGATCTTACAAGATACTAAACTCAATATAATAGGTTTTGCAATGAGCTAAACTCAAGTTATATCAGATTCAATATATTTGTGTTTATCTATGAGCTGATCTCAAGTCACCGTTGGTTTAACAAGATGCCAAATCAAACCAAATACATTAGGTTTAACTATGAGTTGAGCCTAAGTTATTATAAATCTAGCAAGACATCAAACCTATTTTTTCTAGGTTTGGCTATACACCATACCCAATTAGACTTAGAAATTCATGTTATCCCCATATAATTTTATCTACATGATCTATTCATAAAAGAGGTAATCATATCCCTACATCTATAAATCTATAAAAACTATTTCAAGGGGTCTACTATATTTTTTTATCTCATTAATAATATATAAGGGATATTTGTCCCTTATTAATGCCATCAGAAGCTAAAGAGTTCCTAGTCTTTTTTTCCCCTAAAAAACGACAAGGTTCATAGGTTAAATACCCTCTGAACCATCTAGGTAAAGGGTTCACAACTTTTCTTATTTAAAAGTTCATATATTTTAAGAGCATTAATCACACCAAAAAAAGAACAAACACTCTTATTCTTGGAATTTAATGCTATTTATTTCATTTATTGCCTTTTCCATTTAAATTTACTGACTTTATCATCAGATGATTTTTTAAATCTTATTGATAAGGACTATTTTTACAGGTACTAAGACTTCTACTGTTAGTTTTGTATTTTCAGGGTTAAGGATAAGAAAATTAAGGACGTAGATATTTGATTAACCACTATCCAAATATCAAATAACCTATTCATTGAACATACTAGATTTTAAAACATTATTAATTGGTGTCATTTGCAGGAAACCTTTCAAATAACTATTAATTATCTTACTAGTTTATGATATTTTTAATTTATGGGAAACCTTTCAAAAGAATATTAATTATCTTGCTAGTTTAATGATGTTTCTATTCATAATTAATGATAGAGAATCAAGACACCCCTCAAATATGATGTGAAAAGATCTCCCTGCCACTAGAAACACTCATGCACAACAAACACTTCATCAACTTATTAATATAGGTAAAAGAAATTACACCTTAACAAGTCTCAGTGCTACCTCTAGATGAATGAAAGCTGAGAAATAGCAAAGAGATCAAATCTATAGGGTATGGATAATTGAGACCGTAAGACAAGACACTTGTTATAAAAGTTTACCCTTGAAGGGTATTTCTGTTTTGAAATTTCATTTTAGAAAAGTTTTGGAATAATTCAATATAAATCCTAGTATTTGAAATCTAAAAAGGGTAGGTTGCCCATGAAAATAATTTTTTTTTAAAATAAAATAGATCGGTCACCCATGAAAATAAATCAATGTCAGGGGAAGAATGGATGCTTGTTAAAATTATTTTTGGAATTTAAAAATGGTAAGTCACCCATAAAAATAGACCAAAATTTTTGAATTTCAAAATTGATAGGTAGCCTATGAAAAACAGATCAATTTTAGGGAAGCATAAACGCTCGTTGAAAATTGAAAAGGGTAGGTCACTCATGAAAATATATCAATTTTTAAATTTAAAAATGTACAGTTCACCTATGAAAATAGACCAATTTCAGGGCAATATAGAAGTTTTTTGAATTTTTTTTGAGAATTTAAAAAAAGATAGATCGCTTGTAAGAATAAACCAATTCTTGAAGGACAGGTCGCTTATGATAATAAGTTCATTTTCTTAAAAAAAAAAATCAAATTCTTTGGATGGACGGATCATCTAGTAAGTCAAATATATACTTTTTCTTTGTAAGCTCACTATGCAAAACCTCTTATGATAATAAGTTCATTTTTTTAAAAAAAAAAAGCAAATTCTTTGGATGGACGGATCATCTGGTAAGTCAAATATATATTTTTTCTTTGTAAGCTCACTATGCAAAACCTTGATGAGATTTGCTTTGTAAGCATTGCAAAGAGAGAGCATTTATTGTTATCTATTTTTTATCCTACAAAAAAGTTAAAAAAATAAATAGAAAAATAAAATTCAAAAATATAAGAGGATATACATGAATCCAATTTTAATTGATAAAAGATTTATTTAGTGAAAATATTTTTATTTGGGGTAAAAAAAATACAAATTTGGATAGGTAAAGACTCAATAAGAATTTTAAAAGGCTTAATTATTTTTATTGATGACTTGGCTGCAAGAAAAATTAATATTTGAAGTCAATTCAGACTTTAATTGGAAGAAATTAAAGTCTGGAGGTCAAATTAAAGAAAATTTTAAAGAGTTAATTTGGTAAAATAAAGAGATTAATTATATACATATTGAAGTTTGATGAATAATTAGGGACTTGATTGAAGAAATTCAAAACCAAGTATCAAACTAAAAAAGACACATGATGTAGGGTTGAAATTGACCAAATTAGGAACCAAATTGAAGAAAATTAAATGTTTGATGATCAACTAAGGGTTCAAGTGCACAAATCAAAAACTAAGGACTAGGATGAAAATGATTGTAAACTTTGGGTCTGATGATTGAGTTTGACAGGAGTGAAATTGCATGAAATTAAGAGTTTGTGAGATAATTATGGGTGCACTTAAAATCAATTTGAAGAATAAAGACTAAAATAAAATCTGTTAGATCCTAAATTAAAAACCCTAATGTTTAGGGTTTAACCTAGATGATGCGTTCTTCAACCACTATTTAGCTTTTTTTTTTATAGTTTTGATTGATTAAGGAGATATTTTCATGCGAATAAATATGTTGTTTTTGTCCACCTTTAGTGCTATAACCACCATTATTCAACTGAGAAACACACCTCTATAAAGATCTGTTATTCCTATTAAATATTTATATCTCATTCTCTTCAACGAGCTTAATAATATCATATCTTTGATAAACTATTACTATATTTTTAGATTCTAAGCTAACCAATTTGACAATTTCAAACTAATAAATGTAGAGCTATATAAACTTTCAAAATGAGTAAGGTTGGATCTTAATGAAATGAGTACACCTCCTCTATGAAGTTCAGGTGAGAAACGCATGTTTTTATCTTCAAGAAAGAGATAACCACCTTAGCAAAACCACCATCCCAAAAAACCATTTAAAGATAAAGGTTTCAGTTTTTAACATTTGTCTAGAGCTCTCTCATTTTAATCACTTTATGTGGGAATCTATCAAAAACCTTAGAAAAAAATATTATAAACACCCCATTAAAAAATCAAGAAAAAAAAGAAAAAAATATTATAAACACCCCATTAAAAAAGCAAGAAAAAAAAGAGGAAAAACATAAGGATATACTCTGTGAAAAGACCTTAGAGT